AAAAAAATAAAAATCAATGATAATTTTTATATTGGAGGGAAAAAACAAAAGTTTTTATTATACTCATAATAATTACCATCCCTGATTTATTTCAATAAATGGAGTTCCAGAAACAAGTTCAATAAAAAATATATCAAGTAATTGAACAATTTTACCCTTAAAACGTTTATTTAGGCGAAAAAGTAGTGAAATTACAAATTTTTCCATTGTCACTCGAAAAAATCATAATAATTTTTTATTTTTTTTTAAACTTTGGTAAGTGTTCAAATAGAATGTTGATGTTTGAGGCAATGGACGTTGGCATCAAATACAACATATCTATGAAGTTTCAAGAGTGCACCACGAAATAAAAAAAAAAAAATGGCAGCACGCCGAATATATGTCGCAGCTATTTTGTAATTTTTGAAATTAAATTTTTTTTTTTAATTTTAATAACAGTGTACGAAAATAAACTATATTGTACGTTCGTTTCGTTTATTACTTTAACAGTTCGGTACAATACGAAACAAAACGGCTGAGTTCACTTTGGCGATAGTACACTACAGTAGTTTAGTAGTTACAGACGAAACAACAAACGAAATGAATCGTGCAGGGAAAATATATTTATGTATGTACATATATGCAATAAACAAATACAAAACGAATAGCTGCAATGAATAAAAAAAAATAAAAATGTTTTTTAATTGAATTGGATATGAAAATTTACAGAAAAAATTATTTTTCACGTAATTGAAACGTTTGCATACATATAAAACGTACCCTATGGTACAATTGTCACAAACGAAAAGCAAACGTTTCTCGTTGGGGAAAATGACAGTGAATCTTACAATTTGTTTCTGACTATTTACAAAACTGTACAAAACCACAAATGATATGATGATCGATGAGAAAATGGGAATTGTTTTGTACAGTTTATTTTCGTACCCTGTTTAATAATTTAAGTTACTTCAAGGTGTTAAAATTAAACGATGAAAATGTTCTTCTTTCCAAAACGAACGAATCTAGTGTAATAAGGCTAGTGTCTCACCAAATGAAAAAAAAAAATTCTATTGAGTAAATGATGACTATGATTTGAGAAACTAAAATTCCATTTATACAATTTTTATTGGTGCACTCGAAATTCGATTTAAAATTGTTATATACATGAAGGAATGTGTGAAAATCTTAAACGCCAATATATAATCACTTTTAAATAATATGACTTTTAAATAAAGGCGTGCGAGTAAACTTGTTAGATGACTTCGTTTGGTGCTACGGGGCGTATACGTTATATAAGCAACTACGGGTACATGAGCATGAGTTTTTTAGCATATCTTGTCTGATGCGAATTTGATTTACACCCCACAACGCATCACATGGTAAAATATTGTAGCTTAAATCGCTATAATTACGACAAAACTTTACTGCATATTTTATCGTATGTTACAAAAACTTAAAAAAATAAACAAAAAAAAAGTTTTGTATTCCTCTGTAAAATTTGGTTTCTGGCACAAATGAAAATTTTGCACAAAGGGGTCGATATAGGTTATTAAAGTTTGTTCAAACATCTTTCGTTTGATACCCATATTGTGATATTAAACAAGCATATTATTTTAATAAACGTAATTGTAACTTTTTAAAAAGGTGGCAACGCCACTACAAAATATTTTTTTAAATCTCTTAAACGGCTTTTGTTTAAGTGTAGGAATTGAAGTATACAGTGAGCCTTCGAATAATTTTAAATAAGAAACTTTTCTACAGTACATATCGAGTAGAATGAGAAATTTAACAAATCTATTGAGTAGTTAATACGTTAAAAGCCATTAAAACTTCGAAATGGTCAATATACGTGTCTTCTCGGATTTTTTTAAATTTATGAACATCTGGTACTTTTCGATATGTCACGGATTTTGATACATTGAAGAAAAATATTTGTTTCTATTTTTTCACGCGTATGTAAATAGTAAAGCCACAATTTTGCGACTCTTGCAACGTAACGTAGTTAAGCTTTCTTCATCGGTGACTCCTAGGCAGTGTTGGCAAAATTTTAATCTGATTAACGATTAAAAATTAACGATTAAAATGTTAGTCGCGATTAACGATTACAATTAATTAATTGTAATCATCTGTACGATTAATGATTTTTTTTAATC